TTTTTTTTTTTTTTTTTTTTTTTTTGTATTTAGGACAGGGTCTCCAGGGTGTTCAGCATCTCACTACTAGATCAGACTCATAGTGATTCTTCTGTCTTGCAGCCTCCCAAGGGCTGGGATTACAGATGCACGCCACCATGCCCAGTCTCAATCGCAGTCTCATTGCGCCCTGGGGGCGGGGCCGGCAAACCTCTGTTGCTGTTTTTTTAAAGAGAAAATTGTATTATTTCTGTTTTCAGGGTGTTTGCCCTCTTCCTATTGTTCCATGAGTGAAGGGCCATCCGTGAAGTGCCAGCTGCGAGAGCGTGTAGCGAGCTGCATTCGCTCCGTGTTGACACCTTGAATTTATTATTATTATTCCTCTGTATGCTGTTACCTGTCAGAGGCAGCTACAAGATAAAAATTTGCATCTAAACATTGTCCCTGACCACTTCACTCCTCCTCCTCCGACAGGGTCACACTTTCCCATGGACCCCTCTGGTTTTATCCAACAGTCAGTCCCTGAACCACAAACTGGTATTTCCACTAATAAAGCCAAAGAGGCTACAGGGCAGGTCCTGGGTGTTAACCTTTGCCAGCTATGGTATCCGCTATGGCCACAAAGTTTACAATTAGGTCTTGATATTAATACTCAGAATCTAGAGAGCATAATGGAATATCGATTTAAAAGGAGACCTTCTGTGTGGGGTCAAGATAAAGAATTCAAACACACAATTTGCCAAAATGTCTGATTTAAATGGTTTTCTAATTGGCACACAATGACTACACATTTACACATGTGCAGATGCATGCACGTGTGTACTGTGTAATGATCTAACGGGCAATGAACCTATCCATCACCTCAAACACTGATCATTTCTTTGTGATGAAACATTTCACGTTTTCCCTTTTAGCTATTTTGTAACCTGTGATGCAGTACTTTTGATGACGGCCCCCTCTGTGAAATGGATCACCATCCTCTGTATACTAGATTCCTGCCATCTGGCTGAACCCACTGGCCAGGCTGTCTCTCCTCATCTCTTCTTCCCTACTCATCCTAGCCCTTGGATGATTCTACTAGTGACTTCTTGGAATACAAATTGGTATAGCCAATATGCAAAAGAGTTTGGAGTTTCCTTTTAAAAATCTACAATCATACTAATTTAAGATCCAGCAATCCCATGACTAGATATATATGTCCACAGGAAATAAAATCAGTATATTGAAGAGACACCTGAATTCTCATATTTATTATAACGTTATTCACAATAGCCAGGCTTTGGACTCAACTAGAGTCTTGATCAACAGATTAATTGATAAAGAAAATATGGTATTTATATACAATGGGAATACTAGCCATAAAAGATAACATTTTGTTATTAGCGATAACATGGGTAGACCTAGAGGACAATATAGTAAGTGAAATGAGCCAGCCATTGGAGGACAAATGCTATGTAAGCATACTATCTGTGGAGTCTAAGGAAATGTGCTGCTTAGCTCCTAGCATATCCAATCACCAGGCTCAATAAGACTGTGGTTATCTAAACTTTCTCTAAGCATTACAATGCAGCTTGTGAAAAGACAAGAGAAGAACAAATTCAGACTACAAAATGTTACTACATCTTATTAATGGTTAAAACAATGACAACAACAAAAACTAAGGACGACATCAAATTCTGGCTGGCAAGGATGCTGACAAACAAAATCCTTCACACGTTGCTGGTTGGAATGAAGAGTGGCAGTTTCTTCTCAAGGCCTTGCATACAACTGAGCAATTGTAGCTGTGAGCATTTATCCCAGAGAAATGAAAACTTAGGTTCACACAAAAACTTGTACTTGGTATGTTCATGGAAGCTTTATGAGTAATAGCCAAACCTTGGAGATAGCCCAACTGTGCTCCAGCAGGTGAATACTTAAACAAGCGATGACACATCCATGCCGGGAATGTTGTGCAGCAATAAAAGCTATTGATACCGGCAGGAACTTGGACCCGTGTGTGGGGGATTATGTCGGGTTTCAAAAGCCAGTCTTAAAATGCTACATCGTGTGACCTCATTCATACAACATTCTTGGAATAATAACATCATGGAAATAGCAACAGAGGTTGGTGGCTGACAGGGTTAGGGATGGAGGAGGGCACGGAAGTGGTTGTAGGGGAACAAGGTAGGGACTGTTGGAGTTTGAACAGTTTAGATCTTGCTAGATGGTGTTGGTTAGGTGAGCTTATGCATGTGATAAAATTGTATGAAATCAATACATACGCATACAGATACACACGTGGGCACACATATAGAAGTGAGTGCGTAAACATACATAAAACCTGTGAAATCTGAGAAGTTCCTCAAGTATTTTTGTTGTCAGTTTCTTAGTTTTTAAAGATGTGGTGTTGAGGGAGACGGGAAAAGGTCTAGCAGAACTCCTGTATGTGTGTGGCAACTTCACACATATTTACTTCCAAATAACATGCTGAAAAGTTGTGCTGGACTTAATGTAACATCTAACCTAAGCTTGTTTTATTAATAAGGTGCATTTATTTCTGATAATGACAAACAATGAGAGTGATTAACCTTAAAACAATAGCGTGGTCCTTGAAACAGACTGGCAATTCACTGAGAAATCTGTGTACATACATTGGATAATTGTCACACTTGTTTTTATATTTTTATCGTTTATTCCAGAAGAGCAGGGTGATTGCTGATAAAACACACCACAGAGCTGGAGGGGCTGGGCTCTGATTCCTACTGATTTGGCTGTTGAATTAGCAGTTTCCTCAGCTCCAATACCTAGCGTTGATAATAAAATGGAAAATATGTAAATAGCCTGAATGTACTTGTTCTCCCAAAGGTTTTAACCGAGTTTCAAGCCATTTTCTATTTTACCCTGTCCTTGTTGGCATATCCACTTGGGGGACTGGTGTCAGATGATGGTCTTGCAGGAGGAAAAGCCACATGGGAACAAAAGGTTGAGAGGCTGTAGATTTTCCCTCATTCCCAAAGACATACAAACAAGACTCAAAGGATGCCTATGAATATTCAGTAAAGGTGCCAGTGTGAACTGGGTTCCTAGTGCTGTACCACAGCAACCAGAGACACCTAACTTATACAGAGAGAAGGTTTATTTTGGCTAGTAGTTTAGAGCTTCCGTGTGTACATCAGTGTAGGCCTGTGGTGAGGCAGCACATCATGGAGAGTGAGTGTGGAACAACAAAGCAACTTACTTCACAGCTAGAAAGAAGATGAAGAGGCCAGGGCCTGCTTCCCATGATCCAGACACTTACCATGGGACTACACCTCTCAACAAGGAGACAGACAGGGAGAGAGAGAGAGAGAGAGAGAGAGAGAGAGAGAGAGAGAGAGAGAGAGAGAGAGCCACGCTGGCAGCCA